AAAGAGTGAAATTACTTGAGTCCTGGAAGAACTCTCAGCTGCAGGTTCTTACCTAGACATGCATCTTGGGAGGACTCTTCAAGCAACTCTGTTCTTGCTCCAGCTGGGGTATAACTTCTGGTTTAAAGAGATGGCCCCCAAGAATGTGGGAAGCCAGTCCCCAAGTTCAATTTGTACTGGATTTCCAGTTTCTGAGCGAACACAGCCTCCTTTTCCACCAAAGTCAGCGTGTGCTAGATTTGGTATTTTCTGCTAAATATAGATGCTAACTCACCCAGAAATGAGTCACCACGGTGAGATCCTACAGTGTACGACAGACTGGGTCAAGGCCCGTGTTCTGTTGGTATGGACGCGGCTAAACTGATGTTTGCTGTATGTTGGGACTCTCAGGTCACTGATTTTCTGTGATTGTTTTAAAGAGGAATGGAGTGAACACCCAAGGATGTTTAACTTGCACACGTCTATAAGGTAATATCTAGAAGTATATTTGCTCAACCATAGGATATGCACATTTGATAATTGATTGCTATTGGACTGTCTCAAATGCCCTTACAATCAATTTGGATTCATCTATTTCTCTCATGAGAGAAAGACAGAGAGACAGGTACCCCCAACAGAGTCTTCATGCCGTCTCAGCCCATATCTTGGGTATGCGTTTGCCCGGTGTGCTCGGAGAGGTGCCAGGATATGAACGCTGGACCGTTTCCATTGGAGTCCAGTTGCGTTACCATTGTATCACTGCCTGGCCCTCACTTTGGTCTTAACAGGGTTTAACAGTGTCTGTTCCGAGTTAGCCTGCATCAAGCCTTGGTGCTATTACTCTTCTGAATATTCCAGTCTTTGACTTTACAAACCCCTAAAATGCAATTCATTGTATTCTCTTTGCAATTTCTTCATATTTCCACACCCCCGTTATGTATTTCATTATAGCATGCAGCAATCATGTTGAAATTGTTTACATGTGCTCCTCTGCTTCTTTTTAAAAAATAATTATTTATTGAATTTCATTTATTCATTCATTTATTTTAATTTGACCACATACACAATCACACACACAGTCACACACACACACAGAGGGAAAGTGAGAAAGCAAGTCACCAGGTCCAGGACTCAAACCGTGGTCAGCCATG